GACTGGGGTAATCGGCCTGGGTGTGTCAGAGGCAATTCGGTTGGCACAGGATAGAGCAGGGTTTAGGGCTGTTGTACATAGGGTCACTATGAGTCGCAAACAACTCAACGGCACATAACAACAACAACAACAACAACATGTGTTACAAATTTTAAACTCTATCATACTTATAAAACAAGATTACAAGCATATTTGTAAAATATATGATTGTTATATACCATTGGGTTGGATTTGACTAATAGATAGTAAGTCCAGTTAGTTTTAAGAGGATATTGCTTATCTTTCTTCTATGGAGCTGCTGGTGGTTGAAATTACCTTCTTTTGACTTGGCACTGTAACTCTCTACCACTAAGTTACAAGAACTCCTTAAGGGTATGATTGTTGTTATTGTTACATACGGTCAAGTTGAAACTGACTCATAGCTGACACTGTCATGGGTTTTCAGAGGCAATCAATCACATGGGAAGAGATTAACCATCTTTCTCCCATAGAGCTGCTAGTGGATTCGAGCCATGTGCCTTTGGGATGGCTGCAAAGTTCCTTACCAGTTGGCCACTAGAGCCTTCTTATTAAGGATAGGTCTCCTCAGTGATGCAGTTTGTTTGGTTTTTATATTTGGACTTTATGGCAAAAAGTTAGAGAGCTTTTGTCAGAACTACATCTCACTATCTACCTAATGGGATTCATACATGAACCAATGGGCTGCCATACTTGCTGACTTTGAATTCAGCAGATTCTAAAGCCAGGTGTCTGAGATCAAGTTTCTCAAAAAACAGTCTTGATTATGCCAGTTTCTGAAACTCATAGTCTCCAAAGGAGAAGTCTGAAATCCAACTTCCTTACTGACATTTTGAACTCTGCCTTCCAAGACGCATCACTCTTGAGGTCAGATCTGCAGACCTGGGGCAAGATTCACTGGCTTACTTCACTAGAGAATCCAATGTAAGAAAATATCCTGGAAAGTCTGTCAGGTAATGAGAAAATATTTTTTTCAATTCTTACAAATCTTTTAAGTATAGGAGCTAGGGGTATCATGACAGAGACCTTGGCTCAGGGTTCAGAAGTTTCCTGGTGGCCCTATGCAGGGGGCGTTGGGGGAAGCAAACAGTTCCTGTGCTATCTGAAATCCTTGTGGTGTTCCACTGCTTCTTCGAGTGTGGAGTGCTCCATTTCTTCTCTAAATATGAGGTGTTTCATGTTCTAAGTGTGGAGTTCCCCTTCCCTCCACTCCCGTCCCCTCCCCTCCTCTCCCCTCCCCTTCCCTTCCCTTTCCTCCCTATCCCTTCCCTTCCCTCACCTCCCCATCCCTTCCTTTCCCTTCCCTTCCCCTCCCTTCCCTTCGCCCCCTCCTTCCCACTCCCAAAGGAAAGGACTGAAAGAAAGGTTTCTTAGAGGAAATACAAAGGGAAGTAAAAGGCAGGTGCATCAAAGTGAAGAAGCTCCCTCTTTAGGAATGTTAATCAATCCCACAAGACCCTAGGCAGAGCTGTTTCATGAGACTAGGTGCCACTAAATAGCAGGATCCACCTAAGGCTCCCTCTCTCTCCCTTAAGGTTTGAGTCCATCCCTGAGTTTCCAGTGGTGTTTCTCTCCCTTTCTTCATTTTTCTCTTTAACTCTTCCACATGAGCTACATTTTGCAATACCTTAATAAGTCTTTTTCACTTGTTTACCTAAATTACAACTGTGTGTATCTTATCTTCACTTATTTACAGTCACCTCAACTCATCCCCTCAAAGCAAATACTAGTAAATGGTGAAGCAATAAAAATAATTCTAGTTTACCACATTTCAGGGTGCTTCATTTCTCCATTAAGTGTAGGATGGGTCTTTTCTTCTTTTAATGTGAGATCCTCTTTTGTTTTCTTAAAAATGGAATGCTCCTTCATTTCAGCATGCGTTGGTTGTCTCTTTCCATTTATTATTAAATTATCACTAGCCAAGTGCCAGCACTATGTATGAATTTACTTGATTTTGCCAATTACTAGCTTGACCTTTATTTGCAGGTTATCTCCAAACTTCTTCACTTGGCTTGGATCATGCTGCTCGGGGTCAGTGCAAGTGACTTTGCAAGCTGCCACCTGGGCAGGGACTTCCAAAGCCACCAACAGAGCCATCACCAAAGCAGAGCAATAGGCAGGGCTTCATGATGAGGGGAAAGGACTCTTTAGATCAAAGGTCAGAGGGTAGGAGAAAATAAAATTTTAAGCATACGTACATACCATATTATCTCTGGATACTACATGGTGGTCTTCTTCTTTATGATCTCTTGTTTCATTTGATGTAACTTCATTGGACTCTTCTGTAAGGAAGGAAAAATTTTCATTATCAAAATTTTACTGAGACTTATTTTGCCAAGAGTATGCAAGTAATTTGTCTATTTTTAACAGTACTACTGGCAAATTCATTTCATACATGCTCAATTTTTAATTGAAGTTTTAAAATAACTTGGGCAACTGACTGGAAGAGATCTATATTTGCTCTCATCCCAAAGAAGGGTGACCCAACAGAGTGTGAAAACTATAGAACAATATCATTGATTTCACATGCAAGCAAGATTCTGCTGAAGATGATCCAAAAATGCCTGGAACAACACATCAGCAGAGAACTGCCAGAAGTCCAGGCTGGGTTTAGAAGGGGTCGTGGCACTAGGGATATTTTAGCTAATATTAGATGTATCTTAGCTGAAAGCCGGGAATACCAGAGGAATGTCTATCTATCTGTGTTTCATTGACTATGCAAAGGCATTTGACTGTGTGGATCATAACAAACTGTGGCTGACTCTGAGAAGAATGGGAATCCAAGAACACTTGATCGTGCTAATGTGAAATCTATACTTGCACCAAGAGACAGTCGTCAGAACCGAGAAAGGAAACACTGCATGATTCAGAATTGGGAAGGCTGTATACCTGGGATGAGTCCTATCTCCATACGTTTTCAACCTGCATGCAAAACAAATTATCCAGGAGGCTGGGCTCTATGAGGAAAAGTGTGGGTTCAGGATTGGTGGAAGATCTATCAACAATCTGCTTTATGCAGATGACACAACCCTACTTGCTGAAACTGAAGAGGACCTGAAGAGCTTGCTGCAGAGGGTCAAGGACTGCAGCCTTCAATGTGGATTGAGACTCAATGTCAAGAAGACAAAGCTTCTCACCACTGGACCAACTGGCACCATCAGGATGGATGGTGAAGAGATTGAGATTGTTCACAGCTTCAGTTTGCTTGGCTCCACAGTCAACACTCTTAGTACCAGCAGTCAGGAAATTAAAAGACGTATTGCAATGGAAAAGTCTGCTGTTAGGGACCTCTCCAAAGTACTGAAGAGCAATGGTGTCTTTCTGGAGAAAAAGGTGCATCTGATATAGGCCATGGTGTTTGCAATCACTTGTTATGCCTCAGAGAGTTGGACAATGACTAAGGAGGATAGGAGAATTGATGCCTTTGAGCTGTGGTGTTGGAGAAGAGTATTGAGTGCACCATGGACTGCTAAGGAAACAAACAGGTTTATCCTGGAGAAAGTTAAACCGGATTGCTCCTTGGAGGCAAGGATTCTGAGGCTTCGTCTTACATACTTTAGACGTGTTGTAAGAAAGGACCAGTCCTTGGAGACGGACATAATGATGCTTGGGAGGGTGGAGGGACTGCACAAGAGGGAAAGACCCTCTATGAGGTGGATTGATTCAGTGAGTGGAGTAATCGGTGTGTGTGTGTGTGTGTGTGTGTGTGTGTGTGTGTGTGTGACAGTGCGATTGGCACAGGACTGAGCAGGGTTTAGGGATTTTGTACATAGGGTCGCAATGAGTTGCAAGCAACTCAGCGGCACATAACAACAACAACAACAACAACATCTTAAGGAAATAAGATGGATATGTATAAATATAAGATTAACACCACTACACTGTTTATGAAAATAGAAGAATGAAAGAAAAGGAGCAATCTAAATGTTCAATAGTAGAGGACTGATGAAATTATTTAGGCTATGTTACTACAAGAGAATAGTATTAGTCCACTAAAAATGAGAAAAATATTCAGCATTTATTGGAACTTGAAATAAGGTTACAAAACTTACCACATACAGTGTGATCTTGATCTTTGAGTAAAATAAATTTTCCTCAAGGAAAAAATGGATAATATTTACATTTGTTATTAGATGCCATTGAACTAATTATAACTCATACATACCATATGAATAAAAAACTCTCTCTCCCCTATCCTACACCATTCTAAAAATTTCTAGCATGTTCAAGCCCACTATTTCAGTTACTGTGCCACTCCATTTCATTGATGATCTTCTCTACTCTTTCACTGACTTTCTCCTGTTTCCAGCATTATATCTTTTTCAAGAAGTGGCTCTTCCTGACAATATATCTAAAATATGTGAGACATAGATTCATCATCCTTGCCTTTAAGGAGAATCCCAGATGCTTTTCATTCCAAGACAGGTTGGTTTGTTCTTTTGGCAATTCACTCAATGAACTTTCCTAGTAACACAATTCAAGGGCCACAATTCTTGCATCTTCCTTATTTATTGTCCATTTTATATACGTTTTATGTTTTTGTTGATGCTTTCAATGCAGCTTGAATTTCTTCCTTCACCTCCACTAGTTCATCATATGGTACTTTCTGAAGTGGTTCAGTGTTGATCAACTCTTTTGGTAGGTTTTCAGAGGTTGTAATTCACATGGGAAGAGATTATTCATTTTTATATAGGAAAGCCCTGGCAGATTTGAGCCAGAGAATCTGGCTTTGGGTTAGCAGCACAACTGCCTGTGGACTTTGCTACCAGAACTCCTTAAACATGGTATAAGAACACGAATATAAAAAGGATAAGGAAAAGTTTATACATAAAATCAATCTTTGAGAATTAACATAGAGGAGAAGGGAAGGGCAAAGACTAATTACAAGAGAAATTTGTCAAAAAATTTTTCTCTCACAAAAAAGAATATGAAAATATTAAAACATAAATATGTTTTTTGTAGGCAAAAAAATTTGAAATTAATGAGCTGAATCATTCAGCAATTACTTTTTACCAGAATTTGACATCAGGTTAAGATTGCGGTTTTTTGGTGTGGTTTTTGTTTTTAATCAGTTTCAGTCACATCTTCCTCTTTTTACTCCTGTACTCCTTCTGAATAGGAAAGGAAAAGGAGATGTAAACAGGGAAGGTATAAATGGAAGGCATAAGTGAAGGCAGATTCCTGCATCAGGGAAGGGCTTACTCTCTTAAAAAGGAGAAGAAGTGAAAGAACTAAAAGATTGCCAGCACTTTTTTATTGATTCGATTAATCTTGCCTTTTATCACACTTAAAAAACCTTTTTTTTGCTTATAAAATTTTTTCTCGACTTTCAGTAGCTGTTTCTGCTTTTTTAAAAAAGTACGTTTATAATAAAATGTGCTGTTTAATAATTTTAACTGTACAAAATATATTATGCAACCATTATTTACATACTTTGGACACGTGGCCAGGAGAGACCAGTCCTTGGAGAAGAATATCATGCTCAGAAGAGTGGAGGGACAGCACAGGAGAGGAAGAACCCGGATGAGATGGATTATCCGTATCTGGGGCAATGGGAGTTGGTGTGTTAGAATTAGTGAGATTGGCTCAGGACAGGGCAGGGTTCAGAGCTGCTGTACATAAGGTAATTATAGGTCACAGGTGACTCAATGACACATAACAACAACATACTCTATTGGTTGTTTTATATTTAAGGTTCTTTAGAGTCAACAAGACCTTGGGAAGGGCCTTTGTATTTAAAAGTTGGTTGTTATTATATTTTAGAGAAATTTTCTTCTAAGTGAGTGGTACAGCACTCTCTATCAATATGCTGTACTGAGGTAACCTGGGGCTGCTGGGATGTTGAACCTTGTGCCACTGGGGTTTCAAATAGCATAACGGTTACCTATGGTGGACACTGTTCGCCGTAACTCCCAGTTGAAGACATGTTTGGAAGCAAGAGTGGTATCCAATTCCTAAACAACAGCCTCTGGAAACTCTGTAAACTTTGAGAAATGATAGTATCAAAAGGCTTCAGGTCTTTTGTTCATAGGGTCTCTATGAGTTGTGCTTGACTCAATGGCAATCAACAATAACAAAAACAACCACAAACTAAATTAAAAAAAAAGTTCATTGTTCCAAACAGAAACTTGGTACACCTGAAACAATAATTCTCTATTTTCTAAGCAAGAATTCATCTTTACTATGTAAAATGTGAATTCCAATGAAAATATTTTTCCCCAATTTAGACATTTCAGCTCAAACTTGCTGCCATCTAGTCAACCCACTATTGAGTTTCTGAGGCTGTAAATTGCATTGAGTTCCTGGTACATTCGAAGTTCCAGAGAGATATAGCTTTGGGCTTAGCAGATCAACTACCTACAGATTAGCCTGCCAAGACTCCCTCCAAGACATTTACAAAACTCTAACCCTATTGGTTAACAACAAACTGTGGCTAATTATGAGAAGAATGGGACTTCTAACAAAAAAAAAAAACCCCGTAGACCAGATGATTTTACCAGCGAATTTTATCAAACATTCAGAGAAGAACTGTCACCAATTGTACATAAACTATTTCAGGAAATAGAGAAAGATGGAATTCTTCTCCCAGATTCATTCTATGAAGCAAACATATCCTTGATACCAAAGCCAGGATAAGACAACACCAAAATAGAAAACTAAAAGCCAAAATCCTGAATGAAGTACTGGCCAATAGAATTCAACGATACATCAAAGAAATGATTCATCATGACCAACTGGATTTCATAACAGGTATGCAAGGATGGTTCAAAATAAGGAAACACATGTATTGAAACACATGATGAATGTAATTCATCACATTAAAAAAGCAAAGATAAAGAACCACATGATCCTATCATTGAGGCAGAAAAGGCATTTGTCAAAATCCAACACCCTTTTCTGATTAAAACACTCAACAAAATAGGATTAAAGGGGAATTTCTTAAACATAGTAAAAAGTATTTATGCAAACCCGAGAGCCAACATTGTTCTCAATGGAGAGTGGTTAAAGGTATTCCCTTTAAGAACAGGAACTACTAGGCAAGGATGCCCACTCTCACCTCTCTTATTCAATATTGCATTGGAAGTCTTAGTGATAGCAATAAGACAAGAGAAGGAAATAAGAGGAATCCAAATTGGCAAAGAAAAGGCAAAATTATCTCTCTATGCAGATGATATGATAGTATCCTAGAAAACCCTAAAGACTCAGCAAGAAAACTATTGGACATAGTTGACCAATTCAGCAAAGTAGCAGGATACAAGATCAACATACATAAAAATCAGCT